TATCGGATATGACCCTCTCAAGGGTAAAAATCCTGACAAGGATGGATCCACTGATGGCTCTTACCTCTCACCAGAGGCGTGTCTGACACTGTCGGACCTCGACCCTTCGCCGGTTCTCTGTGAATGGAACGGCCATGTCGAGGGTGATGAGCCACCAGAGGAAGACTTTGAGTCATACGCAGAGATCTTCTCACAAGAAGCATAAAACGATCTTGACGAGATGTGGTGTACAAAAGGGCCTTACAAGGTCATCACCATCGCGATCGTCCATTTCAACTCATACATGACTCATAAGGAAGAACAGAGGCGCGAACTGGTGAACGCGTTCCTCAACGAGGTTCTCCCTTTCAAACCGGATGTAATTGCGGGGGATCTCAATAATATTGCGTCGAAGCTCACCTTAAAAGGTGGAGACGTTCACCCGCGAAAGGGTTTGTTTTCTCTATACCTGGAGAAGAAACTTGCAGCATTTAACAGAATAGCAGGAAGGCACTCACAAGTGCGACACCTTTGCTTGAACAACTCTGACCAGCACAGACTGGCACGTGCAGATCGTCTACCGCCGGACCCGGCGAAGAAAGTTGCTGACCTCGACTGTATCAACAGTTATATCCTTGACTGGAGTAAAACGCCGCACACGGCGTCACCTAGTCCAAGAGATGATACACCTGCCGCCGAAAGAACATACTGGGAACGAGTCTCAGATATGTGGCAGGACATGAACAGAAACAGGGATATCGATATCCGTCTGTTTGTCTCAGTCAAGCAGTACTAGTCAACTTTTTCTAACCTTGACCTGTGGTTGAGTCCCTCTGACAAAGATTGGCACAGCCCTTTGGGCTTCACGATACAACCAATCCTTACAAAAGGGAAACACAAACGGTCAGATGCCCAGGTTCAGAAGATCGCTGACAAGCGACAGGCTTACAAGCAGCGTAATGCTGAATACTGGGATTACAAGGACTCATTTGTGTATTCATCCGGCAACAGCTGGTACGACAGACAGCAACCACAAGGTAGCTATCACAGATATGGAAGATTCTGGGAAAGGCCACAGCCTGAACGTCCCAGCGAGCCTGAAGGCTCTCCTCCAAGAAGGAGCCAGGCATCATAGTCCTCTTCACAACAAGCTCTACCAAGATCGAGATCCAGACCTCAGAGAGCCAGTCTTGTTGACAAGCTCAACATGTCTTTAGAGGAACTGGACACACTTGAGGAACAACAAGAGGAAGAACATTTGATCCGTGAGATGGAGAGTGTTACTGAAGAGCACGAACGAGAAACATCAAATCTGATGTCGGCTCAAAGAGATGAAGACGAACAGGAGGAAGAATCTTCCAGTCGCAGAAGAAGAAGGAAGTCATCGCGACCGCCGTCTGCTCCGAGCAGAAAGGCACTCCGAACAGCTGCCACAGCAGCAGGGTTGTCGAACTGGTTCGGACACCCTAATCAAGGCGGTGCAAAGGGAGAGTCTATCAAGACTGATGAACCTTCACTTCCAAACTCACTAACCAGTGAGCAAGACTTCTCCGTCTTAAGCATCGCGTGGAATGTGTTTCTGCTGCTAATGGGCCTACACTGGATGTGGAAGCAGCTCACCAGGGCTCCCATCAGATGTATGGACCGCCAACAATCAAATGCAAAAGCAGCAGCGAAACGACCACCACCATTTCTCGAACCCGAGAATGAACCACAGACGCGTGAACTTTTAGGGCCCAACAGGGTCAATTCTGGAGAAACAACGGATTTGCGACCTGTGTGGCACACTTCCCGAAGCGAAGTCTACCATCTTTCAGACAGCTGTTACCAGCTCAAGCAAGCAAAAGATGTTTCAAGGAAGGTGCTGTGTAAAACCTGCCTCCAGGCAGTACAAGTTGCGGAGATTAGCAGGAACGATCCTTTTCAAAGAGGTGATACACGATCACGTGGCACCGAAAGGGACATTGAACGGTTTCAAACCTATGACGATGCAAGTACTACTCCTCATATGAGGCAATTATTCAGTGATGCATTGCATTCACAAATGGCCGAAGAAGCCATGCAGATTACCTATACATCAATCCCTAAGGGATCCGCGGCAAGAGCCAGAGGTACATCTGCACTCGCAAGTGCCTCATCGTCGTCAGTGCCCAAGGCAATGCCACCAGTGCCTAACAAGGCAAACATGTCACCTCCACCTAAGACTCCTCCGACAAAGGCGAAAGGAACAGTACCTTCAGATCCTCCGAGACCAAAAGGTCCTACCAGAAGAGGAGGTCAAAATCGGCGCATTCAACGAAAAGCAGCTAGAGAAGCCCATAACAGTGGACTCTGCAACCATGCAGACGCTGCCCTTGGCGAAGCCAATCAAGGCCAGGCCATTAACACTATGTGCCGAAACATGGCAGTAAGACACGTCAGCTCTATCGATGCAACGGTAGAAGCAGCCGAGCAGTTTACACAACGCGTGCAACAGCACGTAGAAACATATGATGAAGAGGAACCGTGGAGCACGGAGTTTCTACCAGTCGTGGAAGTCCTATTCAGGAACTTGAGAAGCGACGAAACAACTGTCATACATGACAATCATACGGTAACTATGCCTATTGAGAAATATCTCGACCTCCTCAGAATCGCACAATCATTGCGAAACTCTATCCAGAGAGACACGGAGGAAAGAAAGGATCATCTTGACACCATCCAAGATACTCTATCCAGAGTGGAAATCCTTCTAACAGCACTGAAGGACTCAAAAACAGTCTTCAATCAATTGGTCCATTCCTCACTAGAGATAGAGCGAAGACATAAAAACCTCAAAAATGTCCTTGAGACACTTTTTGACGACCAAAGCTATGAGGAAGACCAGTCAGAATCTGACCATGAAGAAGTCCTAACTCCTTCTGCAGCACAGTACTGGAACAGCCTTCATGCCCACGCCTTATCTCCCTCAGGAGATGAAAGTGAAAGATCATGGGCGGCCTCAGACGGACAGCTTGAAAGAAGAAGGGCCGAACGGGCAAAGGCTAAGCAGCCACAACCGGCTAAAGCCGAGGCAACTCCAATCAGCTCACAAGCTGCACCAAAGGCCGAGCCAAAGGCGACTACATCCAACCATGGATATGACACTGCAGACGCCGCCTTCACCAGGGCTGAGAACAGATTACTCGGAATCTTTTAAAGTTCCGAAGAAGATCACTCAGACCCGGATGAACCACATCCGAACGTCTATGCTCGAGCCTATGATCCAAACCTGGATCCAAATCTGAGATAAGGAAAATCTCAGAGTTTCACACCAGTGACTCACAAGGCTCTAACAAGAGCACAGTGAAGGGCTGCATAATTCGATAGAAGAACATTACCAGACCTGATCCTGTACAGACGATCTCTCTGACCAATGTGCATGAAAGAGTTCAAAAGGAGTGATTTCAAGAGTGACTTCAACAGTGTAATTCAGTGCTATACCTAGCATAAACAATATGCTGTTTTTATCATGAGTCCAAACTCCGCAACTGTGACAGTGGGCATAATAGTATATGTGTGAATGTGCGGCCATGCTTCCGGTAAAAGAAAATTAGTGTCTGTTTGTTTGCGGAAACCTCTAAAGGGGTAGCTCTAACAGGTACCTACAGCAATGGCTGCATGCTCATACATATACATTCCGCTGCCCATTGGCTCAAGTGGTTTTACCCTATTGAGACAAGACAAGCTCTCCTTGCGTAGCAAGACAAAACAACTACTGTCCGTGTGCAGGGCGCTGCCCTTTGATCCTTAGGGAATAAACTGGTCATACACCTCCTAACAAGGAGCATTTCCTTGTGGGTGTATCGGCTCACCCCCTTCAAAGCCCCTTTGTCAAAGCCCCCCTTTGCTCACCCCCTTAAAGCCCCTTTAAAGCCCCCCTTAAAGCCCCCCCTTAAGCCCCCCCTTTGTCAAAGGGGGAGAGGCCCATAGAGCCACTAAGTGACCTGAGCTCTATGCGACCTAGAATCGACGACATACGTCGTTGTGTCGATATTCTGGAAGCGGAGAGAGCTGCTTAGCTCTAAGTAACATTGCGTCTCATGAGACGACAGGCGGTATCTCTCTGCCCTGCATCCACTTTTCGATCAGGTCGGCTCGGCGGCTCATTCCTCTGGCCCGCTGAGAGTCTCGATCTGATGGCACGTCGACCGACGACATCCGTTCGCTAACTTTCACACACCAGGCGATCTCCACATTCCACTTTTGCTTGGTCACTTGCACTGTGCTCCGACTTGGTTGCGTCGTGTTGGACTGCCAGCACGTCGACATACGTCGATGTCCGTTTTCTGACCCCTGCACGGCTCTCTCTTTCTCGACATGCTGGCTGGAGCTGGACTAAGGTGTTGCGCGATGCATTTTGTAGAAAACCAGTGCTCTGCCCAGTAGTGTTTAGGTGCGACACAGAGTTTTCCTCGGTACCTGTATAGTTGTATAGTCTTGCTAGTTTCAAGTGGTCAGTGCCTGTAGAACGTAGTTTGAGCTTGCGTGACGGTTTTGCGGTAGCCTCAACCTGTTTTCCCTTGTTTTGTAGTGCTTGGGAGCTTTTAAGAGGTGCCACGACTACTGTCGTTTGGCTCAAGACACGTGAGACCAGCAGTGAGCTGTGCGTGCTAAAAGTGTGAACTGTCCGAGTGTTTTGTGAGCTTGCTTTGCTTGCAAGGGTGCTTGGAACTTGTTTGCCTTAAACCTGAAGAGCTGTTCGCCTTCTAGGTTTTTAACGTGGTAGCGGAGCGTGGTGAACGCTCGTTGCCTTGCAACCAAAAGAAAGAGCCCAATACGTTGACTTGAGGCGTGTTGCTTGCTTGGTTGTGCTTGAGAGAAATGGAAGGCCGTGGCAGACCAAGCTACTTCAACATCGGTGATGGACCAGGTGAGCCTGGTATGATCCGAAGGAATAGCAGGTCAGACGCTGCGCCGCCTTACCAGAGGCGAGAGCGAGCAGTGTGCCTCGGGGTGCTGCCTTTAGTCCGGTGTCTAACTTGTCGGCTCTGGAACGGGGTATGCATCCTACCGGAAGCCCTGTGGTGGGAAGCCCAGCTGGCTCGCCGAACCCTCTTGGAGGTGTGTTGCCACCCCCGCCAGGTTTGCCGGAGTTTGGTGGAGTTTCGCCAGTTAGTGCACCACCGCAACCCACCGTGGAGACGTTTCTTTACCATACGGTGCAGCAGCAGCAGCAGCAAGTTGCTCAGCTTACGTCTCTAGTTCAGGCTCTTGTGAGCAGGGAAGTGCCTGCGCCACCTACTGCGAGGGGCAAGGGCCACGGTGGAGAGCTTAGCTCCATCTCCGATTCGTCGGGGAAGATGGAGGTTGATGAGGGAGGTGCTCCCATCAGGAATCCCAAAGCTGAAGCTTATGTTCCTAAGTTGCCTGCAATTGATGGTGGAAAGATGAGCAAAGGCCGTCGCTCGGAGATCGAAGGATGGGCTGAGTTCCTAGAGCAATTCTTGCCGTGGATCGCCCTCTTTGATGATAGGATCCCGGAAGAGCTTCATCGGTCGATTGCCTCTGAGGTCACCATCAAGCAGTCGTCGCTTGAAAAGGGACAGAGCGTGCGTTCAATTAGGACCTTCTTGTACCTGAAGCAAGCGTTGCAAGGGTTTGCTCGTGGGCTTGACTTGGTTAAGCAAGTGGAGAAGGAGCAGCTTGGCTCCCCAGCTGGGTACGAGTGCATAAGGAGGTTGCATCAGGAGTTGTCTGTTGCGAGCCGCATCGAGGCTTCGACGCTTCGGAATGAGGCCTTGCAGTACCGCGCGAGCACTCCTGCCAATCGCCCACTTGACATGTTTCGGAACATCCAGTTGGAGCTTGCCAAGTTTACCCGCTTGACCGCAGGGTTCCCAGATCTTGCGTTGAGTGAAGCAGATCGTTGCATGATTGTTTTGAGAAACCTTGACGTTGAAGTGAAGAAGTATGTGCTTTTGCATGCTAGGGTTGACTCGATGGACCAGCTTGAAACGGCTTTGAAGTTTTATGATGCCAACCTTAAGATCCTGAATTTCCAACAGAAGGAAGGAAAGGGAGCAGCAAAGGATCACGCGAATGCTTTGACCTTCGAGGACAAGGGAAAGGGCAAGAAGGGTGACAAAGGAAAGGAAGGAAAAGGAAAGGACAAAGGAAAGGACAACAAGAAAGGGAAGGAGAAAGGAAAGGAAGGAAAAGGGAAAGGTGGAAAGGACAAAGGCAAGGACAAAGGGAAGACCGCAGCTGCAAAGGACGGCAAGCAAGGTTCTGGAAGCGACAAGGACAAGGAGAAGGAGAAAGCAGAGCGCTTGAAGAACGTCAAGTGTTACAACTGTGACCAGTTCGGGCACTACTCGAATAAGTGTCCCAAGCCCAGGAGGGAAAGGGCCTCAGCAGCTGCATTGCTCGAGCCGCAGGTTGCGGCTGCCTCCTTGGAGCCTCAGATTTTCGCAGCCGCGGTTGATCTGAGTTGTCCGGTTGTTGAGCTTGATGAAGAGGATTGCTCGGATTTTTCCCAGGAGGATTGGGAGGAGTTCGTTGCATCTTATGAGTGTGCTTGGTCGGAGCCTGTTGTGCTTGAAGGCGGTGAGCCGGTTGCGCTTGAGGGTTCCATGTTGCACGTTGCGCTTGAAAATTTTCCTTGTGACAGCCCAAACAGAGCCACAGTTGAGCTTGCAGAGTCCCGCGGTGTCCCAAACAGAACCACAGTCGAGCTTGCAGAGTCCCACCAGGTCCCAGACAGAACCACAGTCGAGCTTGCAGAGTCCCCAGAGTTGAGCTTGGAAGCAGGTCGTTTTGTTGCAGATTTTCAAAATGGCGTTGAGCATGGCATGTTGCATGTGGTAGGCAGACCTGAGCATGGCATGGTAGCGCACGAGACAGCAGCAGCCAGCCAGCAGCATGACACCATGGACTGGTGGCTCGTCGACTCTGGCGCGTCGGCCCACATCATCAACGAGGACACTTTGAGCCGGGTGCACGTTGTGAGCCACAGTGAGTCTGCCAGTGAGTGTGTTTCTGCAACGGGTGACAGCATTGGAGTTCGGAGGTCTGCGGTTGTCAGGGTTCCATTCGTTTTGGTTTCAGGCGAGACGGTGGTGACAGAACTCCAAGTGCTTGTTGCTCCTGTGAAGTTTAACCTGCTGTCCTTAGGGCGTTTGCTGGGCAAGAGCTGGGTTGTGGATTTCCTGCCAAGTTTTAAACTTGAGGCCGCTGGGTACGTTCTTCGCACGAGATGGGTCTCCAATTGCGGATGGGTTTTCTCGAGTGCTGTTGAGCTTGACCGTTCCGTTGCAGTTGCCGCCCGAGCGAGCTTGAAGCGTAGTGACGGCTGTGCTCCTTCGTCTGGGAAGCCTTCTCTAAGAAGGATGGGAGGAGCAACCGGGCACCCGAGGAGTCTTCTTCCGACTCGGAGCAGGAGTGGCGCCTTTCGGGTCGCCGCCACCTGGCGGAGCAGCACGCGGCGACTGTTACAAGGACGCACGAGGATTTCGAGGGATCCACGGTCGCCTTTACGGCAACCTCGATGGTGGGTCTTACGCCGGGCCAGAACCTGCTGTTGGTGCCAGCCGCGGAAGTGAAGAAGAAGACGGCAGAGCAGGCAAAGGCAGCTGCGAAAGCAGCGGCGGAGAAATTCGTGAAGGAGCGTCAGGAGAGCGCCCAGTGGGCCAAGGAAGCAGAGGAAGCAAAGAAGAAGGAGAAGTTGATCAACGAGGCCACGGAGGCAAAGAAGAGAGCAGCCGAGGCAGTGGAGTTGGTCAGCGATTCCCCGGAGGGGAAGAAGAAAGCAGCCGAGGCAGAGAAGTTGGTCGACGAGGCCACGGAGGCAAAGAAGAAAGCAGCCGAGGCGGAGAAGTTGGCCAGCAAAGCCGCTGAGGCAAAGAAGAAGGCAGCCACAGAGGCCGCGGAGGCAGAGAAGAAGGCAGCCACAGAGGCCAAGAAGAGGGTCGCCGAAGCGGCCGAGGTCACAGAGGCCAAGAAGCCCAAGGGCAGTGTGGCCAGAGCAAAGGCGGAGCCGTCTTCGGGGTCGAAGGACCCACCGCAGCCAGTGGTGAAGAGGCAGCCCAAGCCGCCCATGGTGAAGGCAATGCCAGCCAAGGTCCGAAAGATCGCCTTGAAGAGCCGGGCCCAGCGCGGGATTCCCGGGCAGACCGACACTGCGCTGAGAATGCTTTCGCAGCGAGCCAAGGAGAAGAAGAAGCGGGGCTACCTCATGAAGGCCATCAACAACGCTATGAAGAAAAAGGCCGAGGAGCAGAAGGGCGCGCCGGTCAGAAGAACCTGGGAGAAGCATGTCAAGGATCACTATGCTCAGATCAGGGGGGGAGGTGACGATTTCCGAAATCGTCAAGGAGCCTCGTGGGCCGCCGGGGCCGCCGACGGTGCCACAGCCGAAGACCCCTCCTTCTACGCCAGCGCGAGCAGCAAGGGCCCCGGAGGTCAAGGTGGAGGGCGTGCGTGCAGCAAAGGTGCCGGAGGTCATCAAGGTGGAGGGCATGGAGATCAATCCCCCACCACCGGTGCCACCGAGAAGGAGACTTCCCACGCCGCCGAGGGATCCGAGGTCAGCCGGGCGAGGGCCCTCTGCGCACTCAGAGTGGTCACCTGTGTCCAGTCTGCCGCCATGGTCACCAGTGTCCAGTGTGCCGGTGGAGACAAGGGCCAGGGAAATCCCAGCAGAGACGAGAGCCGAGGAACCCCCAGCAGAGAGGAGAGCCGAGGAGCTGCGCATCGGGGACGACGGCAAGATCTACAACTCGGCGGGCGAGGTGGTGGAGCTCGAGAGCATCGAGATAGAGTGAGCCATAGCGGTTTACAAGGATCCTCCAAGGACGCCCGCCAATCTTCCGAGGACGCCCACCATCCAGGAATATCCGATGGTCCTTCTTCCTTGGGACTCACGCTTCTGATGCAAGAAAAGGTTGCGTTTGCAGGTGAGCATGATTTTGAAGTTGAGCTTGGTGAGCATGCATGTGTTGGTGGTTTGGGTGAGCATGATGTGCAGCATGGTGAGTTGCTTGAGCATGTTGGCCAGGACCTACCACAGCGTGACCGGAGCGAGGCCCATGGTAGCCAGAGTGAAGCATGGTTGCTTAGAGGGGATCGGGAACTGTTGTTGCAGGAGAGTTGGGGTAAGCTAGAGCGAGAACATGTTCTTAGATCGCATGTGCCGTACAATGCGTCCTGCCCGCAATGCGTGCAAGGTCGTGGACTTGAACCCGCCAGAAGCCAGGATCGGCCCCAGGACTCAGGGATGAGAGAGGTGCAAATAGATAAATTTTTCTATAAGGGCCTGGGCTTCCTGGTGTTGGTTTTGGTTGGTGCTTTTGCCCTCGGTGTGGTTCCGTACCGTGAGGTGAGCGGATCTCGAGGCCCAGCAGCCAAAGAAGCCATGTTGAATGACATGTCGGCATGGAGTCGTAGCGTTGGCTTGGTTGGTGTTGCTCCCAGTGAGTTGACGGTGAGTGTGAAGTCGGACATCGAGGGTGTTGTGAAGAACCTTGCGCAGAGTTTTGCTGATGGCTTGACCGCCGGTGCCATCGAAGTTGTTGACGCCCCTGTTGGTCGGCATGCTGTTGTTGCAGAGCGTGCGGTGAGAACCATCAAGGAAGGTGCAAACACACTTTGTGCTGGGTTGGAACAGGTCGGCTTGGAGCCTTGCGGGAAGGGTGTCACGTATCTTTTGATGCACGTTGCCCAGGTCTACAACCGGTACCAGGTGCATCCTGGATCGGCGCTGTCCCCAGAACAGCGGTGCTTGAAGACCACCCGTGGACCGCATGCCGCATATGTTTGGGGTGCTGCCGTGCTTGCCACTCCTCCTCCCTCTTTGCGTGACAAGATCACCGGCCGTTACGGCCACGCCGCCTACCTTGGACCAGAAGTCGGAAGTGGAAGCCGCATTGTGCAGTTTAGGCTGCGGGATGGCACCTTGAAGATTGCGAGAAGCGCAAGAATCCGGATGTTGGTTCCTCTCACTTTTGAGGTGTCGAGCTTGAAAGGTGTTTGTCGCATGTTGCCAGGAAGAAGGGATGATGCCCAGAAGAAGCTCCCCGAGAGCAGTGGTGACAATGTGCGCGACCTTCCGTTGCCGAACACCGCAACCCGAGGACCACCACTAGAGTGGATTGAAGAAAACGGAAGGACCCCAAGGTGCCGAGCTTGTCGACTGCGCGGTTTTCCAGCAGACAAGGCATGGCACACCCAAAGATGCCGTGACCGCTACGCAGAATTTGTGCGGAACTCTTTCGATCCCAGCCGGGCGATCCTCGATCAAGCCCCAATTGAAGAAGAAGCGGCTGGGCTTGATGATTTGGGTGCTGGATTTGATGTTGATCTTGGGCTTGATGTGCCGGATGATCTTGATCCGTTCCCGAATTTTCCGGTGGACGAGGATTTGGCTGAGTATGAACCCAGCCTGCCTGGAGTTGAGAATGAGATTGAGGTTGGAGAAGAACTCGAGCAGATCGAGGCCCCGAGCCCGGGCGAGCTTGATTTCATGCAAGTTGAGCCTGAACCTCTTGAGGCACTCCCTGAAGAAGAGCGGGAGGCCATGGTGTCTAGTGTGATGTACCGAGAGTCCATCTCCTTTGCTGGTGCGTCGGTTTGCTTTGCCGGGGCCGCCACCAAGGTTGTTACTCCTCAGGTTGTTGAGCTTGGGGGGGAGAAGCTGTTTGTTGAAGTGCCAGCTTCTGCGAAGGATGATGTGACTGGGCACCTGCTTGATATTGGCTTGACCTACGAGGGCATGTTGCGTGAACTTCGTGCTCTTGAGTCGCTTGCTGTCGGTGATGTTGTGTGGCATGTTGATCCGAAGCAGAAGGTGATCTCTACAAGGTGGGTCTCCAATGCCAAAGTCGAGCGTGTTGAGGGAAAGGAGAATCCGCTTGTCAGGTGTCGGGTTGTTGCTCGTGACTTTGCGCAGGGAGCGACCGCGGCACAGCTTGGCATCTCTGCTGCCACAAGCTCTGCAGAAGCGCTGCGAACTTTTCTTTTCTACGCCGGTTCCAAAAGGAGGAACATCGTCGGTTTGGATGTGAGCACCGCGTTTCTCTTTGCGGAGCTAGACGAAGAAGATGGCCACATTGTGGTCAGGCTGCCAGACGGAGTTAAAGGTAAGGACGGCCGCCGCGGCTACTTACGCCTAAAGAAGGCCCTCTATGGTCTAAGAGTTGCAGCTCAGACCTGGTCGCGTCACCTGGCAAAGCTGCTGAAGAAGCTCTGTGACCTGGAGCCATGCGAGACTGAAGCTTGTTTGTTTGCAGGCTCTGTGCTTGGAGGCCAGCGTGTGGTTGTTCTTTGCTACGTTGATGATCTTCTCATCACGGGAGACAGCGATGAAGCTATCTACCATGTGGTGGAGCAGCTGAAGACCGCTGTGAAGGTGAAGGTCACTGCCGATCTGGACCGTGACGGTCAGATCACCTTCCTTGGAAGACAGATTGCCCGAGAGCATTCTAGTGATTCCCTGTGTGTCACAATGTCCGATTCCTACTACGAGGAGATCTACAAGGGTTTCTTCGGGAACTCCAAGGTGACCGCGTGCGGCACGCCGCCCAACCTAAAGGAGTTGTACGACAAAGAAGATCCTTGCTTGGAGAAACCCCTGTCTTCTGAAGCTGCTGCGAGGTTTCGCAGTTCCCTGGGAAGGCTGTCATGGCTTGCGATGACAAGAGTGGATGTGGTTTACTACGTGAGCATGCTGGCCCGAGGCCAGGCGAATCCACTTGAGAAGCACGAGAGAGCTATGAGGGCTATGTTGCGTTACTTGAAGTATATTCAGGGTTTTAAGCAGGTAGTGAACCCGGTTTCTGAAGAGAACCTGCGCCTTGATTGCTATGTGGACGCTTCCTGGGGTAGCGAGAAGAATGTTGACAGGAAGAGCATCAGCGGAGGGTGCGTGATGTTGGGAGGCTTCTGTTTGAAGGCCTGGAGCCGCATGCAACAGGCTGTTGCCTTGAGTTCTGCCGAGAGCGAGCTCTATGGGCTTGTGGAGGGTGCGAAAGAGGCTCTCTCTATCCGGCGCGCCATCTCGCATGTCTTTGGGTGGGAAGATCTGCCAAAGCCCCATCTCTTCTGTGACAGCGAGGCTGCAGTTGCTATCAGCAAGGCTGATGGGCTGAGGAAGGTGAGGCACATTGACCTTAGGGCGTGTTTTATCCAAGACCAGCTCAAGCAAAAGCAGATTTTTATCTTTGGCGTGCGTGGTGAAGCCAATGTTGCAGATTTGTTCACCAAACCTTTGAGTTGGACTGTTACCTTGAAGCACATGTGGGGACTTGGCTTGCGTGACGTTGCCGTTGTTGCTTGTGCGCTTGATGGCTTTGTTGCGTTATGCGGTGCAATGCTTGTTGGTAAGAACCATGTTAGCTTGCGTGACCGTTTTGCCGCCATGCCGCATGCCTCTTGGTTGGTGATTGAGTTCTGTGCCCCCGTTGAATCATCGATGAGAGCGGCTAGCCAGGACTTGAACTGGGTGAATGTGCTTACTGTGAGTGAGCGTGATGATGGTGCCAGTGCACAGACCTTGCTTGAGCTCAAAGCCATCTTTGCTGCGCAGATCAAGAAGAAGGGTTTTGTCTTCTTGTGGGCCAGTACCCCGTGCACCGGAGGCTGCCCATATCAGAGGCTGCGTGCCCGTGATCCAGCTTATCGCCGAGGGCGGTTGGCTCAGCACTGGAGGCTGCACCGAAAGCTCTGGAGAAGCTTGGTCGAGCTTACTAGCTTTGTGCATGCTTGGGCCATTGAGTGGCCACGTGCTTGTGCTTACTGGTCTTGGCGCCAGACTGAGCATTTTCTTTCTTCACGCCCCTACGTTTTGCACGACGTTCCAGTTGATGGTTGTGCGCTTGACATGCGAGGCCGCGATCATCTTCTTATCGCCAAGCGGTGGCGTGTTGTTACCACACACCCAGCAGTTGCTGAGAGCATCCGTGTCTATCGTTGCTCTGGGAAGCATGAGCACTCGAAGGACTTCGACCTCAAGAGTACACAGCACTACCCGGTAGAGCTTGTAAAGTCCTTCTTTGAAGCGTTGCGCCCTTGACTTTTTACGAGAGTCTTGTCGTTGTTGAGGACATGTTGTTGCATGTTTGCTGCGCAGCCCGTTTGTTCAAACTTTCCGGTGTTTTCTTTCTTTGCCAGGACGTTTAAGATGTCTCTGGTTCCTTTCGCTGCCGAGCGTGCCATGGTGTTTGGCCTGGTTGTGGAAGTGCAAGAGAAGCTTCTCGAAGTACCGAGTGTCGGGCTTCTCGCTGTTGTGCTTGTCCCACTGCTTGTGGGTGTTGCGCTTGGAGTGTGCTTGCAGAAGCTGCGTACCGAGAGCTCCCGCGTCAAGACTGTGCAGGACCTTCTTTCGTTTCTGCCAAGGTCAGGCCAGAAGATGGCTGTCTTTACTTCTGCTTACGGAGACTGTTTCCACGTGCGTAGGGACTGCCACGGCCTCAGGAACGCGATTCCGAATCGCATCGCTGCTAAAGTGGCGTGCGAGTACTGTTTAAGGGATCTCCACCTGGTACCTCCGACAGCTACTGCGTCGTGGGGGGGTGTAGAAAACCAGTGCTCTGCCCAGTAGTGTTTAGGTGCGACACAGAGTTTTCCTCGGTACCTGTATAGTTGTATAGTTTTGCTAGTTTCAGGTGGTCAGTGCCTGTAGAACGTAGTTTGAGCTTGCGTGACGGTTTTGCGGTAGCCTCAACCTGTTTTCCCTTGTTTTGTAGTGCTTGGGAGCTTTTAAGAGGTGCCTGCCACGACTACTGTCGTTTGGCTCAAGACACGTGAGACCAGCAGTGAGCTGTGCGTGCTAAAAGTGTGAACTGTCCGAGTGTTTTGTGAGCTTGCTTTGCTTGCAAGGGTGCTTGGAACTTGTTTGCCTTAAACCTGAAGAGCTGTTCGCCTTCTAGGTTTTTAACGCATTTTGGCACCTTACGTCGACATTGGCCCAGCTTTCGCATCGGCCTTACATAAGAGGAACTGGCAGCTGCAGAGCACATCATCAGGAATTCAAATTAACTGTGCGTGTCGTCAAGTGTGATCCGCCGTAGAAGGCAACCGATCAGCTGAGTGAACACCACTCCGAGCGTGACGATGCAGGACTCACACGAAACACTCTGTTGGTCGGCTTTGCATCTCCAAGGCTCCCTGCATTGGCCTTCTGGCTGGCCAGCTCCGCAAACGCGGCGTGCGACCACGAGGTTCCCACTCCTGCCGCTGGAGTGCACATGGCTGACTGAGCACAGGCCGAAGTTGTTGAACAAGACGCCTTACAAGCGTGCGTCACCACGCTTGCTCTCACCCAAGCTTTGGCAGTACCTGATGCAGTCTCGAGAATCGTGTGCACGGCTGTCGTTTCTTGCCTTGTACATCTCCGTGCCTTTTCGTTTCACAACACGAGCAAGCCTCCCTTTCGCAGAACCATGAACTGCGACGATATCACAAGCGACACCCTCCGTCGGAGAGGACGATCCAAGACAAGCAAGGCCAGAGGCCACAAAGGCCATCGCGTGGCTTCGGGGGCGCTGCCTCTCCACTGAAGGCCCAATGTCAAGGACGGAAAGGGCGAAAAAGGGCCTTCTTTCGGGCCTTTTTGGGCTGCGACAAAGACAGCAAGGCCGGCTAGTGAGTAGCGGAAGTCTTACTTTCATCCCTTCAGTCCGACCATGGAGGTGTTGACCCGAGGACGTGCAGAACACGACCGTGGTCTGCGTGGAAAAGTTTTTCTCTCTTGGAGCAATCCAGACATCAGAAGCGGATGTTGGCCACCTCTACCCCTTCAGCCCCCTCGTTTCAACGCGTGGGCGCTCCGAGCGCCCGAAGAGAGGCGCAAAGCTTCCGCTGGCGGCTCTTGCCCAAATCCTCCAGGCTCAGGCTGGGGGAGGCTCTTCTTCTAACCCGACGTAGCCAATGCCAATGGGTAATTCGCAGCCAGTCTGCAAAACACGAAGCTTCGCTTTGCCACGCACAGTCCGTGGGAAAGCTTTGTAACTGTGGAGGGTCCAAACCCTGTGGCGGGAGGTGTATGGTTTTGGTGACCCCCATTCTGGGACCCAACAAAGCATGGGTTGCAGCTCTCACGGCCATGTTTGCTTGAAGCTCTGAGTTTGTTCTGATTGAAGACGTTTTAGGCCAAGGCAAACAATTTGGGTTCCTGGGAGTTCAGGCGCCCGGAAGCGGCCAAAGCATTTTTGGCAGACCAAGACCTACAAGGCGCCTACGTCTTGCGGATTTGTTTTTGCAAAACAGCTTGGAGTGCATCCCTTAAGCCGGCAGCCTGCAGAGTTAGACCGTGTAGTAGCAGTGCTAATGCCATCCGTATTCTACAGTCGGTCAGCGGCTGCAGGTGTGGCTCAGTACCACTGTAGAGTGCGATGGCAGCACATGCAGTTTCAGATTCCTTGATGACTTGCAGTTTGCAGTTTGGCACTTGCAGCCAACTTGAGCCTTGTTGTGATTGGACGTCGATGCTCCGCGCCGCGGTTCAAGCATGGCAGCAATCCACAGCTTGCAGATTCTTGCAGAGCTCTCAGTGTTGCAGAGTTTGACGTTTGGCACTGCAGCTTGGAGGGCATCGCACAACCTGGCAGCCTGCAGAGTAAGACCGTTTAGCAGCATGCACGTGGCAGTTTGTTTAATTCGAGGTTGGAAGCATCCAACTATCCAGCAGCCGGCAGAGCTCTCAGAGTTGCAGAGTCAGACGTTGGGCACTGCATTTTGGAAGGCATCGCACAACCCGGCAGCCTGCAGAGTTAGACCGTTTTGTAGCATAGCAGCTTGCAGAGTTCTCAGTGTTGCAGTGACAGGAGGCATTTAACTACCCAGCAGCCTTGCAGAGTTCTCACTGTTGCAGAGTTTGACGTTTGGCGCTGCAGTTTGGAGGGCATCGCACATGCAGAGTTAGACCGTTTAGCAGCATGCTCTGGCACTGCAGCTTGGAGGGCATCGCACAACCTGGCAGCCTGCAGAGTAAGACCGTTTAGCAGCATGCACTTGGCAGTTTGGTTAACCAGAGGTTGGAAGCATCCAACTATCCAGCAGCTTGCAGAGCTCCCAGTGTGCTATCCAGCAGCTTGCAAAGTTGTCAGTGTTGCAGAGTGTGACTCTGGGGGTTCAAGTGTTCAAGTGTGCGTGGATTCTTGATCAAGTAGTTCCATTCGACCCGTGTTGAAACACGGATCTGGGAATCTCGCGCTTCTGCAAGCTCTCAGGTGTTCAGCCTCTGTTTGCACTGAACGCGACTATTGTGCGAAGTTTGAGCAAGAGCATGTGTGTTAGGACCCGCAAGATGCTGAACTTTGCCTGCGAAGTACTGAGTGAGTGAGGTGGGTGAGGTGGCGGGTGAGGTGGGTGAGGTGGGTGAGGTGAGTGAGGTGTGAGTGCGGTGAGTGAGGTGAGTGAGGTCAGTGGTGAGTGGGTCAGTGCCGGAAAGGGCTTTACAAACAATTTTCCAAATGCAGTGGTACGGAACGCGCGGCTTTTGAAACGTGGCCTATGAAATGCAAAACTGCTGTGAAGCATTTGCTAAACACTGGAAGAAAGGGCCAAAAAGAAGAAGAACTTGCCGGAAAGGCTTTACAAGCAATTTTCCAAATGCAGTGGTACGGACTCTGCGGTTTTTGAATTGAGGCCTATGAAATGCAAAACGGCTGTGAAACACTTGCTAAACACTGGAAGAAATGGCCAAAAGGAAAAAGAATTTGCCGGAAAGGCGTTACAAACAATTTTCCAGATGCAGTGGTACGGAACGCGCGGCTTTTGAAACGTGGCCCATGAAATGCAAAACTGCTGTGAAAAGCATTTGCTAAACACTGGAAGAAAGGGCCAAAAACAAAAAGAACTTGCCGGAAAGGCGTTACAAGCAATTTTCCAAATGCAGTGGTACGGACTCTGCGGCTTTTGAATTGTGGCCTATGAAATGCAAAACGGCTGTGAAACACCTGCTAAACACTGGAAGAAATGGCCAAAAAGAAGAAGAATTGGCCGGAAAGGCTTTACAAACAATTTTCCAAATGCAGTGGTACGGAACGCACGGCTTTCGAATTGTGGCCTTTGGATTGCAAAACTGCTGTGAAGCACTTGCTAAACACTGGAAGAAATGGCCAAAAACAAGAAGAATGAAGAATTTGCCGGAAAGGCTTTGCAAACAATTTTCCAAATGCAGTGGTACGGAACGCACGGCTTTTCAATCGTGGCCTATGTAATGCAAAGCTGCTGTGAAAAGCACTTGCTAAACACTGGGAGAAATGGCCAACAAGAAGAAGAATTTGCCGGAAAGGCTTTAAAAACAATTTTCCAAACGCAGTGGTACGGAACGCACGGCTTTCGAATTGTGGCCTTTGGATTGCAAAACTGCTGTGAAGCACTTGCTGAACGCTGGACGAAATGTCCAAAAAAAGAAGAATTTGCCGGAAAGGCTTTACAAGCAATTTTCCAAATGCAGTGGTACGGACTGTGCGGCTTTTGAATCGTGGCCTGGTGACAGCAATGCCGCTCACTGATGGAGGACGCTGCCGACCATAAAACGATTGTTGTTACGTCTTGGGCAGTAAGTTTTGCAATGTCTGTTGCTTAGGATGAAGAATGAAGAGTTGCAAGAGAATGCCGGCAGTGATGGTGACCATTTAGCCTCGCATGTGCCGGAAGCAGTTTTCACAGAAACCCCCCTTCCCCCCATACAATGGCTAAGCTTGGTTCAACAAGAGCGACACGGAATGCTGGGCTTGCTGCTCCAATTGCGGTATCTGCTTATTGTAACCTTTGTAATTCCCAAAAGCCCGGACCAAGGTCCGCGCTTGCTTTGCCGAGAAAACCGTGGTCCGCGGTAGGTTTGTCGGTTAAATGCTCGGGTCCGCGCAGGTCCGCGCCGGTTTGGTCGAGAAAACTATGGTCTGCAGTAGACTTCTTAGCCAAATGCTCAGCTCCGTGCAGGTCCGCGCTTGCTTTGCCGCGAAAACCGGTCCGTGCTGGGTTTCTGGGCTAAATGCTCGTGTTCCACAGCTGAGAAGACCGTGCGAACGGTTTCTGAGCTAAAGGCTTGGGTCCGCGCAGGTCCGCCCCGGGTTTGCCAACAAAACCGCAGGTCCGCGCCGGTTTTGCCGAGAAAACCGTGCTAGGTTTCTGAGCTACATGCTTGCGCCCGCGCACGTCCGCGCCGGGTTTGCCGAGAAAACCGTGCCAGGTTTCTGAGCTAAATGCTTGGGTGAGCGCCGGTTTTGCCAAAAACTGTGCCAGGTTTCTGAGCTAAATGCTTGGGTCCGCGCAGGTCCGCGCCGGGTTTGCCGAGAAAATCGTGCTAGGTCTCTGTGGTTGGCCGGTAGCTTTGAGGTCTGCAGTGCTCGGCTTTTAGGGCCTGAGGGCTCAGCAGTCTGAAGTCATCCCCACGCTCTGCTCCCTAAACCTCGACACCCGAGCGGGCAGTCCAAGCTTCCAAGCCATGGGGTCTTTAGCCGCAAATCCTAGGGCCTTAGGGCTCAGCAGTTGAAGTCATCCCCTCAGCTCTGCTCCCTAAACCTTGAAAGCCGAGCGGGCAGTCCAAGCTACCAAGACCAAGCTATTTGGGGCAGTAGCCGCCAGGACGTCTTGTTGCGCAGACGGGTTTGCAGTTCTGGGCAGAGTGCTTTTTGCGGTGCAAGCTCGCGCGGGGGAGAGCTTTTTTGTGCTGGGTTTTTTCTGTAAGCAAAGGTTTGCGCTGTATGCTTTGCATTTTTAGTGTGGTGAGTGAAGAAGCAAAAGGTTTGTGCTGTATGGTTTGCAGTTTCAGTAATGCAAATGAGTGGGCGTGCAGCTCTCTGCGCAGGTGTTGGCGAGAGCGCCATGTCGTTGCACAGCCGGGTTCGCAGCTCGAATGCGTTTGCTTTGCTCTGGGAGGTGTGTGCACGTGTGTGCGTGTGTGCAAAGCCTTGTGGACGAGCGTTTGGGCTCCGGCTCCGGCTCACCTTGCTTAGTAGGCGCTTTCCCCTCTCTTTGCAGCTGCCATGGACGCTAACGCTGCGCCCAGCTTGGGGGACAGACTCGCTGCTCTCAAGGCCGATCGGGCCCGCTTGCTGCGTGAAAAAGCTGAAAAAAGCAAAGAAATCCGAACAACTCAAAAGCGCTTCAAGAGATTGAAGAAGGCGGCCGCGAAGTTGAGCCAGGCAGACTTGGTGGAGTTGCTCCGTGTCAAGGAAGCGCAGGTTCGTCAAGCAGCTCCGAAGGCCAAGGCCGCAGCGGCGCCTCCGCTTTGAAGCCTGCACCTTCT